CACATTTATATATATATATATATTATTTGCGTCGCACTAGAGCTGCACAATGGGCTATGGGAGATGGTCTGGGACATCCGATGGATCCGAAGACATGCCATCACAATTTTGATCCTCTGCAGAGAGGATGGCTCCTTCGCTTTGATAGCCCGAAGACCTGCATGCGAAGTCGAGTCCTTTACGGTAGAACAGTTTAACGAGGGCCGCTATCGCGCTCTACTGGGAACCGTGTCTTTACCATCAGTACACTGAGGGACGTATATATATATACAAAGAGAGAGAGAAATTCTAACAAAACTAACAAGACCAATTTTGTAATATTTTAAAACTTTATAGTAAATAAATAAGGCAGCTCTAAAAATATTATCTTGAAATACTATTTAATGAGAAGGAACTGGTGAAATCGTGCTGGTAAAGTAGTAAAATAATACACGAAGTAGTAGATAGCAAAATTTTAGCAAAAGATTTCCTTAAAATTGCTTGAAATTTTATATTAAAAAATATTTTGGTGGCAAATATATTTATTGCTATTTTTATTAAGAATATTTTTTTTGTTTTACGCAGCAAATTAGAAAGATTTTTTTTTAACTTTATCTTAAAAAAAAAGTAAACATTTTTTTTTAAAGTAATACTTAGTAATAAGTAAGATATTACCCTCACTTAAGATTAAGTGAGGGTAATATCTCGAAGTTAACTAATAAAGTAACACTTACCTGTCTCCTAAAATGAAACAATTTGTTATCTTATTATCTGCTCTTCTTTGAACTACGACCAGCTTGTCATGATTGTCATCGACAAAGTATGAATAGACAAAAGTTTCATTGCTCCCTTTTTTCCCCGATGCAGTCTGCTCTAATCCATCGCTTGTAGCAAAGAACAGATAAACAATGTATAAAACAATAACATTTAATAATGCAACCATTTTCAAGATGCTAAAAGATCAGAACCTATCTAATACAGCTGACTATAGCCTATGTTTGTTGGACATAGTTGATTAGATTGTAAAGATATGAACTTCACACATAAGTTATATATACATTTCTTTTATTTTCAGAATAAGAATGACCTTACATCTTTGCACACAATCGTAATGTATCAAGAATATTTGCGATTGAGGGACAGTTGTCTGTGAATCAGACGCAAGTAAAATAACAAGAAGATGTAATGTATTTTCAAAAATGGCTTGCGCAATTATGTGATTCGAGTGCGTTTCTGGTTCTTATGTAAATTTAAGATAAATTTCTTAAGTTATAACCTTTTCTTTCATTTTCTATCTGAAGAAGTACAGCCAGCGTAAAAATAAAGAAGTAAACACAATGTCATTTTCTCGCTGCTATGTCATAATTGTAATCATAACTTTTTTTCGGTCAAGGAACGTTTTTCTGTTCCACATCTATTTTTTTTCTCGAGTAAAAATCATAAAATGAATAAATAATTTGTAATATTGCGAAACTTTCCCTTCATTCCATAAGATTATTTGATTACTTACACAAAATTCTACTTACGCAAAAAAAGGAAAGAAAAATATTAATTATATTGTGTTTTAAACTCTTTGTGAACATTTTATTTGGTCTTTGAGCTTAATGAGCTTACAGCTGATCATTTAATATTTTTCGCGGTTACATCTGCTTTAACTTTTTTTTAGAGTTTTATAACGATAAAAGAAAAGAAAACTTAGAAAAATGAGCAAAAGCCAGAAAACAATAAAACTTAAAGATTTAAAAGATATAACTTTCGTAACACTGATTTTGTAGCAATTTACTTGCAAGGTGCTCTGGATTTTCTACATTGCAAGTCATCCGGAGAGAAGCGCCACTACATCAGTGCATTCGCTCTCGCATATTTAGCGATCAAAAACACATACTTACCAACTGATAGATATCTTACCATAAAAACATCTACTTATGTTTTTATTAATACTTACATATGTTTTTATTAATATGATTTCGCGTATGCGATATTGGAATTAAGCAGTCTAAATTTTAACCATTTTTAGTTTAGCCAGAACACTTTAATTTTACCTGATTCTCTGTGATGTATGAGTTTAAATCGTTTCCTAATAGCTACAAGCAAAACGTATCATGATCTTATCGCCAAAATGATTCTATCGTGATCTTATTTATTACCAAACAAAATTTCGTTAATTCCCTTTAGCTGGAGAGAATTTCTACCGCAGATCTCTGTTGAAAATACAAAATAAAATTGTATTCGGATCGGTGCGACAAAATACTTTTATTATTTTGCCCCCAATTTAAGTTTTGACTACTAACAGTTAAACAAACTAACTGATACAAGACTTAAAAAAAAGAAGAAGAAAAAGAAATGAACAAAATAAATGAAAAGAATTTTGTAACTACGTTTTCTAAATGTGCCAAAAAGAAGAAAAAAAAGCCGTCAATTTTAGAAAAAACGAATGGCTGAAGCGAAAGAACGAGGTTATATATATGTATATCTAACCTTTGAACTTTTAAATCTAATAACTAGAAAGAACAACAAATAATAAAAAGTAGAAGCTGTCTAGTAAATGCCAATTTAAATAGATAATTTTTAGAAAGGATTTTTAAAAAAATTGCAGAAATATTTGAAAGAAGTCAATTTAGATCCTTCGCAAACAAAATTGTGCTTCAAAACAGATGTTATGACTTTTGAAATATGTGGTGGAAGAAAATCTTTATTTAACTTACAATAGAGGGTTTCTCTCACTTAAATTTTTATTAGGGCAAAATGATAATTCAAAATTTGCAATTTTAAATTCTTACTTCTTATTTTCTTAAATTATTTCCCATCTTCATCAATAAAAACCAGAAATTCCCTTTTATTTCATTCCTTGTTTGAACTTTGGAGTAAAAATCTTTCCATTAAGACTTTTTAACGTAAGAAGATATTAATAATTAGGGGGTCTGAACCACCTGATAGCAATCGCACTTGAACCCGAGGAACCTATTTCGTAATTCTTTTCGGATTGCTTTGTGATACTTAAAATAAAAAGATTTTATTTCAATATTATTGTCTGCAAAATCTTTTGTGTTTCGACCCTTTGTTAAAGATATCAGAAAAAAAATTGTTTTCTTCTGATATCGTTATTGTGCTTAAACAACTTACAACTTCGCCTCCTCTATAAAGCACCTAATTATTTTTAAGCACTACCCCACCTTTTAAAACATCTTTAAACTTGTTTCTTATCAATATCAAATGCTGAATTGACAGAACGCTGCATGGAAAACGTTAAGTAAAATTTTTAAAAAATTTCTACTTGATTACTGGCTTATACAGTATAGGGATATATTCCAATTTTTAACCATCATATTATAAAATTTAAATCGAATTTTAACAGCGAAGTCATTGAATAATTTGAAATACCTTATATTTGCAGATTTGTCTCTATACAGTGCGCAGTAAAGCCATGGTACACTTTTGACCGGCAAACAATCAACAGTGCACCATGACTTTACGAACTCTAGGGTGGTAGTGAACCGTAAATTAACAAAAGAAACTAAAATAGTGTAAAAGCCGAAGCAAATGCAGAAACAGAATATTAAGTGCTAAAACAACTAGATGGATTGTACTTACATATGAAATGAACTGGGGGGAGATCAACTCAAACACAATAAAATGAAAGCAAAAAACGTACAGGCGCGAAACAAAGGGAAAAGATTCATTATCATGCATTATCAGCTGCCTTCTGAGGCATGTAATGTTACATGTAAGCATGTAATACTTAAGCAGGTCAATTTATCACTTTCGGATGATGATGATCAGTCTCTTGCATGAGCCGATTCCAAAATGAGACATGTTTATCTCCTGGAGGAGATGATTTTTCTTCTCCTGCTGGATAAGCTCCTGTACAAAGACATATTTATCGCATCAACACGATGATGACACCACTTCTATAGGAAGAGATTTTGAATTAAATATTTATTTCATTAAAACGACTATAATTCTAAGCATTGAAAAAAAACTAAAGAAACATTGAGGAAGGAATTCGCTTTCAAACTTAGTAAACACAGATAAATTTTGATACTATGCAATATTCGTTTCGTAAATGACTTCTTAAAGAAGACTGCTTAAAAAAGCATAACTTTTGTTTATTATTATAAATATTATTTAAAATTGACTGCTTGGTTAGGAAAAACACCAGAGTAGGGAATACCGGGTAATGATCCGTAACGTGAAAAAAAAGGCAAAGAATACTGGTCAAGTGTATAGCAGATGTAAACAGACAAATTGCCCTTAACTTCAAAGGAAACATCAGCGTAAAGAATACAAAGCAAGTAGGCAGTATTCCAGACAATAGTTCTTATTTTTCAAAAAAATAAAAGCGAAACAATTACCAAGCAAGTGTATAACAGACGTTTTTGTTACATTTCCCAAAATACATGTTTATTTATAGTAATAATTGCCTGTCGGATAAATCGCGATAGTAACCTGGTAGGCATTTCCCAGTATACACTTACCCTGTAATCTCTGCACAGTTGATTTCAAAAATAAAGGGTCATTGCCTGGTACTCTCTTCACTATTGCTTTTTAAAGTTTAAGGGCCATTGCGCTTTATTCCCTACCTTGACATTTTTATTCTATCCTCTATGTGAAATTTATTTCCACTTTTAGGTTTAAAAAAAGACTATTTCCAAATTAGAAACAGAATTTATCAGCTATGAATGTCTTAGCAATATGTGGGCACTCATTTCCCATCTTACTCCCTCCGCTAAAAACAAAACAAACAAAAAAAGTCCTATTCCATAGGGATGGATCTTAAAATTGGAGAGCTAGTCTAAATATCAATAAAAATATTTTTATAGTTATATTTTTCATACATAATCTAAATTGATTCTGAATTCCCATTGCTACACTCTCAGAAATATTGCTTCAATGTTGAAGCATAGTATTGGGACCTTGAACTGAGTATAATAACGTGCATATTTGCAACGACTTTCATAAAGTGGTGAGTTGAACCATGTATAATGTAAAAATTTTTGGACCATTTGAACCATAATATAACCAATTGTAATGGATTATTTTTCGACAATACGAAAAAATTTTGATGCGTAATAAAATTGGTCAGTTTGGTTTTCTTTCTTAAATAAATATATATATAAAGAGAAAAACAACCACATGCGTCAGAAAAACGACAAGAAGGAATACCATAATGAAATACTGAATTTCAAAACATGAAATGATCTAATCAGAAATGTAAAGTAAAAAAAAAGGTTTATACTGTTATCCTTCCCTATAAAATTAGTTAATTAGCTAATAGGTTATTAATTTGTTAATCGATTATACAAGAACAGACTTTTAACAGTAAATTAAACCAATCTGAAACATAAACAAACAAATTAAAAACATGATTGCTTACGCATGATTATTTAAGAAGTTTAAATGAAGTGAGAGGGGATATTTTAAAGCCAAACGTGACTAAATTCACTGTGGCGTGTGATGGTAATAAAAATTCTGACACTGACAAGTTAACCACAGATACCATAAATAACGAACAATCCTTTGAATAATTTTACAAAATATTTTCGAGACGGTTTTTTTAAGAAAATCCTTATCATTTTCGTTCGTTTCTGTTTCTCTCGTGTCTCTATCTTCCTTTTTTTTTTACGTCACTGGACGCGAACCAAAGATTTATGGTGAATTCTTTCACTTTCAAGTAGAAAATTCTTAATGAATTGGGCAACTTAAATGACGTATGCTTGAGCAAACAAAATGTAACAACCCACCCTCGCCTTGTCTAAATAAAAACGAGGAACTGACCACGAACTAATTTCAACTGAAACCTGCTTCAGGAATACAAACTTGAGCTTGTTTAGTATAAGACATCTTACTTACCGTTAAATTCATTTCTTCTTCTGAAACTTCATCCTCTATTTTAATCCGATTAAATATCGCTTGTGTGCATCAACAAGTTCTCCAACAAGGGCACCATCTTGTTTGATAAAACTATATTTTTGACCAAGGATAATTTGTTTGAAGTGTGTAAATTTATTGAATCCATGGCTTACAGTGAAGGTCCAGACAAAGGCCATGCTTGGGTCATTGCCTTTACAGCTGGTATGATTACGATGATTCTATCCGGTATATCGAAGATGGTCGGAATTCTGTATGTTGCTGTTATTGACACTTATCAGGTCAGCAGGGGAGAGGCAACCTTGCCTTTTACATTCAGAAAGTCTTTGAGATGTTTAACAGGTATGTTATGTTCCTTTTCTATTTCCATGCCTGAATGTGATTTTTAACGAACGTGAACTACAATAATTTAAAGAACATGAAATGTATATTTTGCCTAATGAATATCAGTTGGAATTTTAAAATGAGCATGAATTATGATATTCTTTAATAAGCCCGGATTGTTTTGTTCTTGCAAACATATTTAAATGTCCATCAACTGCTCTATTTTAATGAACATGAATTAGGTCATTTTAATGAATCTGAACTAGAGTTTTTAAAAGAACGTGAATGACCATGAACTTTAACAAATATGAATAGTTTTTTTTTAAAATAAGCATGGATAGAGTTATTAAAATGAATGTGAATTGTGATACTAAATTGAATACGAATTAGAGTATTTAAATATCATTATTTAAAATTTACTGCAAAAAAAGATTTTTATTATCGAAATAAAAAATTCTAGAATTAGTTTAAGTGTTTAATAAATTAATGAAATATTAAAATGGGATTTACTCATAATTCTCAAATAACTAAATATTTTAGTGCATAAAGTTTAATTGCTGAGAATAATAATTTATTTATTATAGTGTACAATTAATTTGTGAAATATTTTAATGGCATTAATATTTTATAATATTTTTACATAATTAATGTTTTTGTCACAAATGTTGCGAATTACTTTTTTTAATTGATACTATTAAAGATGAATGTATTTCTTAAAATCAAATACATCAGTGCAACAAATATTAAACACTTTAACTGATAATATCAATACTTCTTTTTCTCGTCAAAAATTGTTCATCCCACTTCGAAATATCAAAATTTATGTTTCTGAACCTTAAATATTTCTTGAATTCAAAATGATTAAAAAAATTAAGTATGTTATTATCAAATATTTATTGGCATTATTGCATTCCTAAATTAGGTCCTATTGTTGGAATTGTGGGACAAAGATATGGCATTCGAGCTGTTACTCTTGGTGGTGCTGTTATTGCTGCTCTTGGTGCCGCTCTCAGTTTTCTAGCACCGACTGTTACTTGGCTTGCAGTCTGCTGGGGTGGAATTCATGGTAAGTCGCTCTGCTTTTACAGCATAAAGTGAAAAAACTTAATTGCTTAACATATATGCAAAACTTAAAGTGCGGTACTAAATTGTTATCAGAATTTATCTGATCTTTAAAACATTTTTTTTCGAATCTGTTTATTTAAATAATTTACATCGGATTTTTACCTATTACTTAGAAAATTGCCGTTTTATTTATAGTTTTTCAAAAACTTAAATAACTGCTATCAAAATCCATAATTTATGCCAGATCTATTGCGTTGAAAAATTTACTCTAAGACTCTATTCATTTTTTTAATCATAATTTGATTCGTGACTCAAATCCTCATTCAAATCATTTAATTAAATTGATTTAAATTACTTTGATGATTCTTTTTTTATCAACTCCAGCAATGACAACAATAAAGTATGTCGAAACTTTAAGCAACTTTAACTCAAATAAACTTTTAATTTTAATAATTTTATACTTTGAAATGTTTCACTGTGTAATCGTAGTTTTTACGTTAATTATGATTAAAAGACTCAATGTTAGATTGAAAAAGCAGAAAATTCTGCAAGATACCTTGCTGCATATTTTCTAGCTTTTTACATCCTGGTAGGCATTGTGAGGATATTTTAATAATTTTGAAACTAGTTGTACTCATTTGTATATTAAACAAAACACGCTATCTTCAGTTAGAAAAGATTACAAAATTATCTTGCTCTTATCAGAAGTCAAATATTTTAACTTTATTCATTTCTTCCGTTTTATAAGATGGAATTCGAGAATTAAATGTAACAATGTTAATATAAAGAACGACTTTTTTAACGATAACAACGTGAAAAATTTATATACGTAATAATTATTAATAACAACTATAGTGATAATAGCAATTCATATTGCGCACAATTATATGAATGTCAAACATCAATATTACGATCCACAGCACTGTAGACAAATATAGTTTTCAAATAGTAATTAAAACAATGTTTTCTTGCTGCAGGATTTGGAGAAGCATTCGCTAACACGCTGTTTCAAGTTGTTGTTAACCAGTACTTTGAAAAATATCGATCAACTGCATCTGGAATTGCCATGTCTGGAGCTTGTATTGGCTCCGTCTTCTTCTCTTTCCTCATCGAGTTTTTGAGAGAAACCTACGGATTGCAGGGAACCTTCCTCATACTGGCCGGAGTGATTTTACATGTGGTTCCTGCAGCCATGCTATTGAAATCTCCCAGTTGGATCACAAATCCAGAAACAAAACCTGTTGAAAGTGAGTATAAACTATATGAGTATAACTGTCTGGAATAACTTTTGTCATGTTACCTTTGATCCGGACTTATCAATGTTCATAATATTTCATATATTATCATCAGACATCATAGTACATCAGATTCATGCAATCTGTTCCTAATAGTAGAATGCTGTCCCAGTATCAGGATAATGTAATGAATAAGGCTTTTCCTCTTAATTTTCTGATACCAAGTAGAATGTTATAGTATGATGCTTTGTTCCATTAAGTAGGATAGTACGACTATACGATGCTACTTAGTTCTTTATACCACTAAATAAGTACCACTAATGATACAGTATGCAGGAGGTTTTTAGCAACATTTTTCGGTGGCAAAAAAAATCTTACTTTTCTATTAAAGTAAACGCAACTTTTTAACTTATACGGAGTTTCCCCTAATTCTTAATATTTATGGTTTTGTATTCCGGTTGACATTACCTCAACTGCATTGCTAAAAAAATGTTCAAAACGTTGAACGTGAAAAATTGAACATTAATAATTTACAATTGCTTTAACGTTAGAATTGTGTCAAATTTAAACCATATTACAGCCAAAGATTTGCTTTCAAACGCAACGATATGTTTTATCAATATCAAATTGAATATATATGAAAGTACTGGAATATCAAAATAAACAACACAAACATGTTTTGTTGACTTTGAATAATATCATAATTCATCAAATTCGAATTTTCTCTTCAAAATGAAGATGTATTTTAATATTTTAGAATAACAGAAAACTTAAAATGCTAAAGATGTTTCTTTATTTTTTTACTTCAGAAGCACAACTGAAGCGAATTTTGAAGAACAATGGCCCTGTGTACAGTGTTCCGAGCGATTACATCAAATCTAACGCAGAAAAAAGAAAAAGCATCGTATCTCTGAGTCCCAGTCTTTTGGAAAAGAACGAAATCATGAAAGCATCCAACAATATTATGAAATCACACTCGGCAGCTAACCTTATTTCCACACTCGAGAAGAAGTTGGAAAACGAAAAAGGATTTGACAACTTAGTTTTCGCTTTAGAAAATGAAAAAAACGAAACTAAGTCTTACAAGCCCGCATTGGAGAAACAGCTCAGTTTTCAGGTATTTTGCATTTATTTTATTTATTTATTTGTGTTATAAAAGATAAAAGTTAATAAGTTAAGAAAGTAATTGCATTCGTTTACACTCTTCGGCTCAAACTGACCAACACTTTGATCAGGCGTGTTATCATTACTGATTCGCAGATAGATTTGTTCATTTGTTTAAACGCTCTCACGTTTTGTACAAAAGTTAGAGTTAGATGCTTTGTATATTCTTCTTTTTTACTACATCTATTCTTTGAAAGAATAAAAATTATAATATATATGAAAATAAAATACTGTTAAATAAGTTGTATAAGATAAAGCATTACCGCAACAGCTCGTTGTAGATTAGAGGGGTCACGTTGGTTAAGGCTCTACAATTTCGTGATCAACGGCATGATGATGCAAATGTGGTCAGCACTGCCATACATTGGAGAAGTCACTGAGTAGTCTGTCCACAATGGTTGCTCAATGTTTTTACCACTATGCTATTGTCATTCAAATCAATTATACGCTTTATTAAAAGAGCATTCACACTGCTTGCTAATAAATCGCTCAGAGATGCGAATTGGAACATGATTGGCGAGTTTTTCAGGGGAAAATGTATTTTCCCTTGAAAAACTCGCCAATCATGCTCCAATCATGACCTCGTCCGCATCACTGAATTTTCCGCATACAGCGTGAATGGTCCTTAATACGACTCAGCGGTGAACACTCACAATTTTCAGATTCAAACACAGAAAAGTTGTTTAATAATTTGTTTAATTGAAAGTTTTTCATAATAATAATTATTCATTAATAATTATTCAATCAAAAACGATAACCTTACAAAAAAGCTTACGATCATTAAAATTTTACTGTAGATTTTTACTAATTTATTGCTAATTTATTGTATTTTAGAATCTTTTCTCGACTTCCAAGGAAAACAACTCAACACCAAATTCCCGCAACTTAAGTCGCCAAACATCTCTGAAAGAAGACTTTCAAAAGGAAGACATAGAAAAGAAAGTTGAAGATGACAAAAAAGAAAGCGTTTTGGATAGTATCAAAACAATTGGCAGGCTATACACGAATCCAATCTATGTGCTTGCATGCGTTGGCATGGCCACATATGTATTCATTTTCATTCCGATCATGACCAGCATGATAGATTACAGCCAAGATAAAGGTCTTCCTGATTCTATTGGAAAATACTTAGTCCACACCATGGCCGTTGGCGATATTATAGGTGAGTCTATATAATGTTTTTCCATTATAATGAAAACATTTAGAACAAGCTTATGAATATCGAATTAACACTGAAACGAACATACTTTCACTAAACCATTTTCGCATGCAAAAAATTTTGAGTTATTTTGTGACCATTTTTCAATCTACAGTAATCATTATTTTAAAAAATAATCATTGTTTCAAAAGTAATCTTTACTTTAGGATCTTAAAAATATAAGCATAATTAGATTGGAAAACACAAGCATACTCTTGATGAGGTTACAAAATTGATCATCTCCACTTCCCGTTACCTCAGATATTTTTATTGTTGTTTCATTCAGTTGCTAGAACATATTTTCCAGGGAAAAAAATGTTCTCGATAAACAAATGACAAAACAAATATTTTAACTCGCCCTACACCGGTCTTTATAAGCACTGTTAACTTTGATGCAAACTTGAACTTTTATCATCTTAATATGCAACGCAGGCAGCAAAATTTATTCAATTACTTGGGTATTAAATTACAATATATAAACAGTATAGCTATTGAGTGACAGTGTATGAGCAATTTAATTAAAACTAATATCAATTACGAAGTACTTTTTCAGGAAGTAATCTATTTTTATATCCCATCTTCCGAAATAATTTTGGATGAGCACCTGCTTCTCATATGTTCGAATTGCAGATGAATTCTAACCTACTACCCCCAGCCAACGTAATTCACTGTGTTGTAAAAAATATCACGGAAAATTAATCAGAATATCGTTACTGTTGAACTTACCAGTGGATATTTTCGTGTGATTTAGTTTATGTCTTTATGTAAAGCAAATTCGAGTTTAGTTTCATCGACCACAGAAGTGGAAAATTAAAAATCACTAGGTTTGAAAGTCAAATGTGTCGCAGGTTCATTCTGTGAATCGGCTATCATTCCGGCAACAAAAAAAAGACATTTTTTTTAAAAGATTTGTTCAGTTTTAATGATTTCGATTTAATAATATTTCAATTTAATATAATTTTAATTTAATACAATTTCAATTTAGTACAATTTAAATTTAATATAATTTTACAAAAATGTAACTTTTATTTTTGTTCTTTTCAACAGGCCGTCTCTGCTTTGGCTGGGTTACTGACAAAAACTACATTTCTCTGCCCCACTACATGATTTTAACCTTAGTATTGCAAGGCACTTTCCTCCTACTCTTACCACTTGCGTCATCATTATGGGCATACCTCATATTGCTGGCTTTTTATGCCATGACTGCCGGAAGCATGATGGTCCGACTCCCAGTCATAGTTCTCAAAAATGTTAAGAAGGAAGAACAGTCTGTTGCCATGGGATGTGTTGGATTCGCATCTGGATTAGTACCTCTTGGTGTGCCATCTTTAATTGGTAAGATATTCATAATACTTTTTGCCTTCTCATAAAAATACCAAAAATATATCCCGTCTATTAAGTTTCCATTATTGTAAACATGTTAAGGCCCGGTTTCTTAAGACGAGAGCCTTCTCTAGACGTCAGCGGGAAGTTGATCTACCCTAATGTCAACAAAATACTGTTTTGTAAGCTCAGCGTGAGCAGTCGTTCCAACGCAGACATTATCTTGCATTGCGCATGCGCTAATGACGTAAACAAATATTTATTTTGATTTTGTAGTTCCTTCCTATAACTTTATGTGCTATTGTCGACCAGTACTTTGGAGAGAAAAAAAATGACATTTCAATCTGTAACCACAGATTGTTTTTAAACATCAAATCTTTGTAAGATTTAGATTTTACATTATACAAATTAGGTCGTTTTGTAATTTCAGAGAATAATTTCTCCTTGAAATCAAAATCTTGGCCAATTTCAATGCTCTGTTGGCTGTTGTCCGCCATTGCTTCTGTCGTTAACATTGCGTTACAATCCAACTGCAGTTGATAAGGACGGCAGTTGTCGTTCAAGCTGAGCGTTCGATGACGTATGCTGTCTAACTCACAAATTGACCAATCAGATGCTAGCGCTCACTTCAAGCTGATGTTTTGCAACGCCGATCTGTCCTAAGAAACCAGGCCTTTAATTGTACAGTAAAGTTCCTTTGTTAAAACAAAAATTCGCTTTGTCAGTACACAATATCAGTTTATGTTTTTATTGTAAGTCTAAGGTACTTATGTATAATCCCGTCAACCATTTATGCCAAAAATAAAGTTAGAAACCGTTCTATTTTAAATATCCTTTCCTTCATTCAATAAGTTATATTTGTATTTTGTCAATTTCTTTATTATCAATTACTGTATGACATTAAATTTGAAAGATATCAAAATGACTTTGGCGTGATGTCGACAAATATGGTCGACGGGATAATGCATCAGCACCGTCCACCATTATTTAATAATAAAAAACACACATTAGTTTTGATCTATATGACGCACATTAGTATTTGGTATTTCCATCGCCTTAAAATCGATTGGTGTGCTGGAAAAGCAGAGAAATAAACAGACAGATATATCCATTCAAAATGGTGAATCGAGAAATCAGTAATCCCTATTTCATAAATATAAATATTGATTCTCATGACCCGTACAATCCAACCTTAGTATTAAAGACATTGTTTCCTCTCTAAGTGCATTTATTTGTTTCATATTTAATAAACGTGTTTCCTAATCCGACTGGAATATTTTAAGTATTTACTTAATAGACTACATTCGCAAAAAGAAAAGCTGCAATAATGTAGCGTGTGTGACATTTAAAATATACGTGAGCTCGAGCATTAAAAAAAATCGGTTTGTAAGTTTCTTCATTTCTTTTCTACTTTTATTGTAAATAACACAGTAATCAGTCGAGTATTAGCAGATGTTGGTAATTTTGAATACATCTTCGCAGCATTTTTCTTTTTTTTTACTTTATCACATCAGTTTAAGCAAATAATTCGGAAGCATATTCATGCGCTCTTGTTAGACTTTTTTTAATGATGAATTGCTTTGAAATAATAAATTCAATGTTTCCAGTAGACCTCACTATAGCATAACAAATAATGGAAAAGGAAGCGTTTTCTGTGTTTCAAAAATCAATATGAATGCATCTTAGAGCATTTTTTGCACACAAAAAGCTTATTCGTCTTTAAATCATATACTTATGTTTGTAAGTGATATCTCATGTTTGATGTCTTCTATTATTTTTTTCATTACAGGTCACTTTAGAGACTATTTTGGATCATATGATGGAATGTATTACTTGCTTGGTGGATTGTCAATATTGGCTGGTGGATTCTGGGTATTGGAACCGCTTCTTGTCAGGCTTAACAGTCATTTGGAAAACAAGAAGCAAAACAACGTCGACGTTTAGGCAAAAGGGCGCTCGCTGCAGCGAGTGCTTGTCATCAAAAAAAAATTCTCTACGAGGTCCGAGTCTTCTCTTACACGTCATCTGATTAACATCCATCAATGAGTAAAATTAAACCTAACTTCTTAACGGAAGATCGAAATGACAAGTTCCAGTGAACAGAGAGAAGATTTCACCAATTCACCTGCTAATGAAAATTAATGCTGCGAGAACATTATGAGATATCCTCTTGTAGCCTTTGAATGCAGATAAGGAAGAATTTAATTTTGGAAAAAAGAGAGCAAAGTGGAAAATACGAGTTCACTCAGAATGAGCTGTAAGCTCAAACATACCTTCTTCAATTAAAAAAAGCTGAACAGCAAAAGAAGTTATGAGCCGGGTGAGAAAAGGAAAGCTACAATAAAAACTAAACGATACAAAATATACGCGAAGTTGCAACAGAAAATAGAAGCTGCTACAAAAACTAGAAGCTACTACAGAGGCTAGAAACTTCAGCGGAAAAGTAGCGCTGCGCTGCAACATAGCTGGAATGCTCCAACAGAACCTGAATGCTCCAACAGAGCTTGAATGCTCCAACAGAACTTCTAGGCATTAGTAGAAACAGAAAGATCTAACAGATCTAAGAAGTTCCAAAAGAACTAGAATGCTCCAACAGAACTAAAAAGCTGCACCAGAAACAGAGAGCTGCAAGAGAATGTGGACGGAATATCTTCGATCTACTGAAATCTCATTACTTCTCATCATTTGTTGTATGGAAAATGCATAATATGCCAACCATGTTAGTTTATTCATCAAATTAGTACTTTTGTAAATAATATATTTAGGTTATCAAATTGAATAAATTTTTTATTAAAAAATTGAATTAAGACTTGGTTTTGATTTTGATGTTGAAACAAAATTTCTTTTATTTCTCATATTTCACTTGATATTGGAAATGCTTATTTTTATTTTATGGGTGTTTTGTATTTCACATAAGACGCAAACAGGCACGGTAAGGAATATACTTTAATACATTTTTTGAATTAAGCATTTTCTCTGACCAAACGGTAAAACATTTCAGTGACATAGCAAATATAAAATTCTTCAAGAATTGACACAGTGTGACATCCCCCTAATAGCAACTATCTCTAAAATTTCTTACCACTAGGTTAGAGAGTGTTCCTCCAATATTTAAAATTTTCGATAATCAATATTTCATTTCATATAAGACCCAAACAGCACGGTAATGGATATTCTTTAATGCATCTTCCGATAAGTAATTTCTCAAACCAAACTGCAAAACATTTCCGTGACATAACAAACATAAAATTCTTCAAGAATTGTCCCATTGTTACGGCACTTTTTTCTAGAATTTCTTACCATTTGGTTAGAGAATTTTCCGCTAATATTTCAAATTTATAGAACTGAAAAAATATTTAGGTTTTTTAGACGTAATTTCTTAAGAAAATGTAATAAAGCGCAATACGCACATCATTTACTGAAACAAATAGGGGAGAGGGGGGCACATGTGAACAAATTTTTTTATTTCTTCATTTTTCAAAAAATATCATCAATTTTTCATAGTAAAGAAGTCCATATGTTTAAATAGTCTTTTCTTTGTCTTATGGAATTTTTTGAGATTTTTCAATAAAATATTTCTTTACTTTATAATATTTTAGAAAAATGACTTCAATTGTTCACATGTGCCCCCATTGGGGGCACATGTGAACAGGCCTGGGGCACATATGAACAAGATTAAAAACACAAAGCAATCATCATATTTCAAAGAAAAAAAATCTTTAATATAACAGATATAGATACGCATTATACTGAGGGGGTTGTAGCTTACTATGTGAATTTAAATTGTACAACAGTACTGTCAATAAGAAAATAATTTTTCAGCTGTACAATAATTTATCCGTAATTGGGTTTTTCGCAACTTCATGTTCCACGGGTGTTGTAATGGGCCTTTTTCTTTCTTCTCTAATACTCTTTCATGCTTTTTTTTTATTTTTTCTATCTTTTCATTTGTAGCTTTAACAATTCTATTTTCTCAGGTGTATCAGTTAATATGCGTGATGCGCGATCAACCATTTAATAAAAAAAAATTTTTTTAAAGGAAAAATTAATAAATTAATTATGGAAAATTAAATAATGATAATTTTAAATGCATACATATTTTTTAAACTTATAATATCATGAGGATAATAATCTTAATACTATGTAGGGGCACTTGTGAACTGTTCACATCTGCCCCAGATGTTTTGTTCACAAGTGCCCCCATCATCCTTCTTAAACCTAACTTGAAAAATAAAGAACTTTTAATTGAGTAAAAAAAAAGAATAATTGTCATAAACTTACCTGAATGTTCATATAATGATCTGCAATAGTTAATTTTAGTTTATTAGTTGATTTATATTATGCTTTCACTTGAAGAAGTGAGTGATTATAATATATACAACACCAGCTGATACAAAGAAATTGTCAGAATAGAACAACAAAATGTCTCATTGTTCTGAAAGTTTTTCAGAGAGGTAGGACTAGTACTGACATCAATTGAAAATTTTTCGAGATTTTTTATTTCAAATCATATTGGTAAAACATACCATGTTCACATGTGCCCCCTGTTCACATGTGCCCCCCTCTCCCCTACCTGCTATTTGTTTAAAAAACGATATTGCTGTACTTTCTTCCTTAGAGATTCAGCATAATTAATAAATTGAACAAATTTGGTATAATTTTATCACTTAAAAAATAATGTATTAGAAACTTTTTCTGCTTGCACACCTCTACAAAACAGTTTTCTATGCAAAAATATAATTGGTTTTGTTCTCATTGGTCGAATTTTTTAATTACAATGCAAAATTGTAGGAAAATAAGGAAATTCTATTCAAGTAACTTTTTTGACAGCATTATGCCATATATGTAATAATAAGATATTTATATATTTAATTATTTGAGTTTAAAGGATTTTGTTTGTTGACCAAAAGGAGAAAAAATACACAATAAAAGTATCTTACAATATACAAATAGTGCTAAAAATAAAAATGTATAATTTTTTATGTAATAATTAAAAATAATTAAAAAAATTATTTAAGTTTAACAATTTGAATTTTTAAAAAAAGTATTTCATCACATTTATGAATTTACTTTCTTCTAAGCTGCGTCCAAAGTGTAAATCTCCTTAGCATTGCTAAGTGCAAAGTTCAGAAAGCTATATTCATAAATTTTACTTTTATCATCGGAGGGGGATTTTTCAAATTTTTAGAAACTTTCCAAAATTTAAAAAATGTACAAAGCGCTTGAATTGGAAAAAATAAAAATGCGTATTTATGAAAATGCTTAGCAAATGAAACCAAGTTTTCTACACCAAACCAAACCTTAATTTCTCATACCTTTCTTAAACACTAACATTAATAGAATGTATGGCTGAAAATATGAAAAGGGACAAAATAAAATTTAAGAAAATCATTTAGAATTGAATAAAACTAGCAAAATATTCTTATTGATTTTTTTTTCTTATTCGTTAAGATAAATGCTTCAAAGATTTTAATTTAAAACATATATTAGCATAAACATTTAAAATTTACGGTGGTAGTTACGAATAAATAAAAGGAACCATACTAAATTAAATTTTTAACCCACTTTTATAATTTAGATGTAGGGTAAACCAAACAGTGAAGGAACAATTCATATATATTGATTAAAAATAAGAATTTGAAAGTTTTTCTTTAGATTGATTGGTAACAATAGTTTACTGCTAAACAATAGGAAGTCATCTAGCAATGTTTTGGATTACCTGGTCAAATAGACTTCTCTGGAAAAATTGTTATTATCTCTGCAACACCTTGTTTCTTTGAAAAAATTATAAGGTGAGTGTTTGTATTTATATGTTTGAAGTGGAATTAATTGCATGTAATAGTTTTATTTTTCTCACTGTGAAAAAGAGAATTCAAAATATAGTTATTGAACTTGCGTTTTATTTTTTTAAGCATCATAGCATAATAAAGTACTGAGATAAGGGGGTGTTTATTCACTGGATCCCTAAACGATGAAAAAACGAAGGAACAAATGTTCCTTTACTGGGATTTTTTTCTAAGTTAATGAAAATAAAAGATAAACTTTAGTTTTCTTGTACCTTTAGTGATGTTCCGCATCAAAAGTATATTAAAAGTACGAAAAACAACTTCTAACCACTGAGGGAACAGGCATGTTCCTTTACTGGGCATAGATTTCCTAGTGAATGAACAGTATGTGTTAATATGTTGACACTTTAATTTTCAATTCATGATTACCAAAAAAGGTTAACATTTTCCAAGTATTTATATGTTATAATTTCAAGAATAGGCTTGTTTTTAAATATTTGTATGGCATATAAATTCATAAAGAGCATTAAAAAATAACCAAAATTAAGTGTTCCTTTACTGGGTGTTCATTCACTATTAAGAGCTGTTTCTTCACTTGGTCTTCTTACTACTTGTTATTTGAACCACCAAAACTTTAAAACAATACTATGTAAGTTCTCTACAATTTTTTTTTACATAATTTGCAATTCGTAACAAATATGTTGACACTGTCATTTAACTAAAATTACGAATTTTGAAATTAATATGATTTTTTAAAAGGCAAGCGAAGCTTAAGTGTTCCTTCACTGGTTAGTTTACCCAACGTTCCATCACTGCCCCAATGATAATGTTTACGAAGCAGGAACCCGAAGTGCGATGTGGAGCTGGTTGAATATTGCACAAATATAACTTTTCAGGCGATATCATTGTTTTACCAAATAATATCAGTGCTGGACAAGTCAGTGCAAAAGCAAATCAGTGCTTTGAAAACTTTAAGTTTCCTGAAAACTTCATTATAAGACAGGAAAAATCACTACGAAGACATCAGGATTTGAAGAATACTGTCGAGTACCACGGATTATATGATAGAAAAAAAGCTAATTTAAAAACAGATAATTACCCTGACAAGACGGATAAAAAGATTTCAAAAGAAAATAATTTTTTTTGGACTAAAACAAATGCGCAAAAGAAATAAAGGCCGACAACTTTTGATATAATTATAGAATTTTTCACTTTTTGGACTCAATCTTGACTGTTTCACCTTAAGTATGCTAACTAGTTTCTAAAAACAATATTTCAAGTCATGAAACCAAACATTAAAACGAACGTTTTTTACCCCTGTCTCACATCATAGTCAAGATAGAAATATTAACTCTCTAATTTTTCACTAGGTGGCACGATAGAAAATCTTATAAAGTAGCACATAGCAACTTTAAATATACCTGGGCACCCCTTTTATGGCAACAGCTGAAGCTGGAGGGATGAGCTGCTGAAGTTTAAAATTCATACTTCAGTGAGTACCCTGAACTTAAAAACATAGTGTGGTTTTTAAGTTCTGGCTAAATTACTAACACTTTTCTTTTCATTACTTACCTACCGGTAAAAAAATCTTCCTATAAAATTGAAGACGGTGAGAGTTAAAGCTAATTTAAGATAAGCATTTCTGACAGTAATTTCGAGGCTGCAAGAAGACAAGTGTCAGATGAAATACTTTATTTCTTGAATATTGACGCTAACTCTAACAAAAAGGCACATTTTTTTTTTATTGGCACTACAATTTTGAGCAGCACTTAACAAAAACAATAAACCACAAAAACAAGATATTGTTCAAAACTAACAATATATTTTATCTCAAAAAAATAGAAACAAATAAAGGACTATCCAATTGGGAGTTAAACCTTTGTTTTCATTTCAGACAATTTTCAAAGGTTCATCCAATTCATCTTCCACATTTAGCAGATAGTAAAAGACATCCTTGTTTCCATTTGCTTCATCTGAATCTTCTGATGGCGCTTCGTAATATTGATCGTCAAAATACTGATAAACGGGCTCTTTTTCGTGATTTAATTCGTACTCTTCACATCTGTGAGTAACCAAACTAGGAAAAAAGGAAATTAAATTAACACACAGCAAAGTGGTAATAATAGTCAGATTAATAAAAGCTTCATAACATGCTATATGAATTACTGTCCTGCTAAAAATTAATATTTACATAATTTTGACATTAAGGGAGAGTGGGGTCAATTGTAACATTTTTTACTTAACTATTTTTAACTAACAAAAAATCCAATATATTATTAGTATTAATTGACAGACGAGTAAAGTAGACTATCCTCTACTAGAAAAAAAATAAATACCTTATTTTAAATTTCATTATATTAGTTATTCACAATTTTTGACAGTCGTGCACTTGTTACAATTGTCCCCACTTACAGGGTCAATTGTAACAGTTCATTAATTAAACTAAAACATAGTTAATTATACATATTATCATAGTTGTGATATATTTTTTATTGATCAAAATAGTAGTGATATTTTAGGAGTAAAAATAATAATGAGCAGAGACCTAAAGGGTTAAACTTTTAACTTTAAGTGGTTAAAAATTTTAATTTATGCTGTGAAAGGTGACAAATAAAATAATGCACATGCAACATAATACAAATGATATAGGAAACTATTGGTGGTTCTTAAGGAGTTAAGTAATGGTTTGTAAACATATGATTATTTATTTTCAGCTGTTACATTCGTCCCTTTACTTATTGTTACAATCGTCCCCAAGACGCCATTTCAGCTTCATTTCTTAAAAACAATGCTAGTTAATTAACAAAACTGATCTTCTTTTTTTTTGAAATGTTAATTAAGGTGTCCACTTACATATTCGGTTAGTAATTTTTATTTGCTTAAACAAAATTACTTTGTTACAATATAATATTCTAATATCAAAAAAAGTACTTACGTAGCGTGAAAATAAGTAACTCTTTCAAAAGTACATAAAAATGGTTGCCAGCAGGGGTGTACATGTAGATTTATTAAATACACCTTGTGCGCCACCTAGGAACCAAATCTAGAACCCGACACTCGAAATTTTTGCTCTGTTACAATCGTACCCTGTTACAATTGACCCCACTCTCCCCTATATTAATAATAGGGTCCCAAAAACCAACGACATCGGATTACAGTTCGTTATCAAAATGTAATGATTTGTGATTTGATTGTTGTGTATTCCTTTTTAAAGCTTTGGACTTTGTTATAGCAGTAAAAATTGCATCTTCAAGAAAAGGGATGTTACCCATGGACCCAAAACACTTTTTTGTGTGGAAATATTATTCTTCAAATTGTAAATTGAGCCGCTTAAAACCGAGGCAGTACATACAAAGCATGATATAAGTTGTATTTACAGGAAGTTTATATTTACAAGATATTATAATTTGCTATTAAATATCATTGTTATTTGTTTCAAACCTTCATGTTGCTAATAAATGGATGCAATATTATAACACAATTGCTTATATTGTTATTATTTATCTAATTTTCATTTTGCAATAAATGCCGTTCTTTAACAAAGTCTTTTCCAAGTTAAAATTACATTGATAATGCATCTTTGATAATTCTTTACTATTAATGGGTATTAAATACATGAATTGTATATCAATATGTCCTACTTCTATCAATAGAATATTGATATCTGGTAATATTGTTATAATTCGGCCCTTTGCCAATAGGCGTCTTATAACTTTTGCTAAGCCAAAAGGGCATATCTCAGTTAAATATAAAATTATAAATAATTGTTTGCTTTAACAACCTTTTAAATTTATGAAGAATAATTAAATAATGAATAAAAACATTAGTTCCTACAATATTCAGCATTTGTGCAATCAACATTTACTTAAACGCTCACACCCAAAATTTCAGTTTTTTCGGAATACGTTTTTTGCGCTTTGAACGTCAGTATAAGTCAGTACTGTAAAAATAATGGATTTCTTTTATCTCCATCAATGAATACCTTATCTATTTAGAAATTCATTTAATGCAACAAAGAGATTTAGCATTTTCGAATTACATCCCGCACTTTCACATCACATGCTCTGCGCAAGTACCGTAAACTAGGATTATTATGTAGGAACAGGTTAATGAGATATGCAAAAGTGCTAAATCTCTCTCTAATAGTCCTTTACGTATCCTTGTAATTTTAAACCCAATTAAAGAGAGATGCGTCGAATATTAGAATAATTTTTGTGGTGAGCTTCACACATAATTAAAATTAACTGGCATTTGTATTGCAAGGAAAGGAAAACAGCCAAAGCATCCAACTGCTGTTCACAGGGAGATTCTATTCAAAACAGGAATTGATTGTCAAACCTTCTACAGTAAAAGTTGATAAAACGAGTACAGTATATTATGAAGTCCCTTATTACGACAAATTAAGTCACAGTTAAAATTCTGGTATTAAAGAAACAAAGAAAATTGTTTGTTTAAAACTAGTTGAGTTTCAGAGGATAAAATTACACCCTGTCACATTTTTCTGCAAAAACAAAATATTTTTTTTCGATCTTGACCATTTTGCTGTCATTAGTTTTTGAAATTCATTTCATTGTTGTAAGACTAAGACTGTAATTCTAAGACTTCTTTCACTCGTTTTTAAATTACTTAGTTTGGAAACTTATTTGTATTAGTTATTTAAAGATCGTCTCATTCATATACTTACCCTCTGTATTTTTTGCAGCTTTCGATTGGGTAATCTTTCCTAAAGCATTCCATCTGCAAAGCGTTAAAGTAAATCCTGCCTAAACGGTTTGATGTCTTTGTATTTGCCTCTTTCAAACAGTTAAAGAAACATTCATCACAGTCACAATGAGACCTAAAAATATGCCATAAAAATTTATAAGTATGTTTAAAATGTTTAAAGAAAACAAATGCTCGTATCAGTGTGGGGAAAAAATGCATGCACCAGCGTGTGTAGTTTAAGTGTTGACTGACTGCTCAGAATCGATTTTTTTTCCCACTTATTAAAAGGCAATTTTCAAGTAAAATTTAAGTGTTTTTTTTTTCGTTATTTATCAAAATCAGTACCTTTTTTTCGTTAAAAGTTTAAAGAAAAAGTACCATCGTTTCTCAATTTTTTTAGAATCGAGAGAAAATATTTGTATATTTATAACTTTGATGGCGATAAATTTGAATCAATAGAACATTTTACGTTATATATAATTATCAAATCAAATACGAGGTAAAATGCAATTATCTTCATGAGTTTGGTCGAATGAATTTTTTTTTGGGTTATCTGTTACATTTATTTTGTTCCAAAACTTAAAAGATCTGGAACGAACATAATTAAATTCGTTCATTTTATAAACGTCGTTGAAAAGTCGACCCATTTTTTTTGGGTTTACGACTACTAAAGTTCAACTCCTTGTTGTTTTAAAGTTCAAAGCCTTGTAGTTTTAAACCTAATCCCGAAAACAAGAGAACTCCTGGATCAAGTAATGGGAGAAATTTGCCTTCGTGGAGGACTTTTTGATGGAACTAACCCGCATTTGCATTACATAGAGAGGAAAGCCATGAAAACCTCCCATGGATCGCCTGATGGCAAGGGGACTCTAACCCATGATCCGTTTACCAGTGAGGATATTTCACGTCAGCACTTTGGTCGGTGCAAGCCGGATGCAGATTCGTAACTACCAGCTATCGCTGGGATTCGAATCCAGTTCACCTCATTGGAAGGCGAATGCTCTATACCCAGAGCTATCGCTGCTCAAAAATATGAAGAAACATGCAAGTGATTTTTTACTGTATTTTGTTGAAGTAACGGAATGAGAAAAGTATTTTACTTAGTTATCGGCGTTGGGTTTTTCAGGCCGTGTTTAGATTTAAATGCAAGTATGTTGTCATTGCAGGAATCATGAGCCCGGCAGCACTTATCGGCCTCTACTTCTTCTCCAAGGTCATCGTAACTCTCAGATATATTACCGGCACCACAATATTTTGTTCCTGAAAATCCAAGCATCATCAAGAGTTTGAGACATTTAAAAATACTTTTAAAAAAATGAAATTTAGTTATATTAATAAATACTTTTAAATACATAAATTTGAAGTATTATTTTTAATAATTTCAATATTAAGGTGTCTTCTTGAGGTCTCACCGTTCCACCAAACACACTGTCACGTGGAGATAGCGCGCTCGAATCCCGCCGCAAACCTAGTTGCATTTCTCTAATGCCTCTTCCTAACCTGTGCTATCTTTGCTTCCACTTGGCATGGGCTCAGGCCTGAAAGCGAGGCGGAATTGGGAAAAAACTGGTAGTAGAACTATTTTAATAATAGATAATTTTCAGGAAGAGTGAATCTATTCTTAACAATAAACAATGCATTGCTATTAATTTTTTCTCGGGGAAGAAGCACTTCAATATAGAAATTGTATCCATTAAAAAAAGTTTTATAGTTATGGATATTTTATTATTCCAGAAAAAAAGCTAAAAATGAAATTTATTTGTTACCAGTTTTATTAATTTCCGTCTCCATGTATATAGACTTTCAGCCCTGCATAGGCTAATAAGCTGTACTTTGAACAGACAAGACTGCATATGTGTGTGTAACAATCAATAAAGTACTAAAACAAATTTTATTTAACTTTGTCTTCAGCATTTTTTGTGAGTAGAGTTTTAAAAATATAAAAATCAAGCAAAATTAAAATTATATGTTCTACTTTTATTTTATTTATATTTTTGAAAATTATAAAATGAAATTTACGAATATTCGACGAATTAAAAACATTATTTTGTCAGCATTTGAAAATTTCTTATTTTTTTAAGCAACAAAAAGAACAGATATTTTAAATTTCTTATATCCCAGACGCAATTTTGCAAAACAGCAAACATGCTGCACCAGTAAGGCTTTTCTAGGGAATGTTTTTTTTTACAGTTTTGGGTTGAAGGTAGGTAAAAATACATATCTTCATTTTCAGATTTTTATTTTCGTGGTATCAGAGCTGCACAATGACGACTATCTGAAAACATCCCTGAGGATGATCAAAAAACATACCATCGCAATTTTGATCTTCTGCGGGGAGGATGACTGCCCCGCTTTGTTAGCCTAACGATCCGGGCGCGAAGTCAAGTACTTTACCGTAGAACAGTTTAACGAGGACCGATATCATCTTGAGATTTAATGAGACCTATTCAACAGATTGAACTCATTTTTGTTTTTGAAATTTGGAAATCAAAAATAAAATATTTCTTTTCTGATGAAAAAGTATATTTAAACGCAGCACGATGCTCCAAGTTTGCCACACTTTGCATTTTTTTAACTTATACTTTTACACAGGATGGTGCCACATTCATGGTACAAACTTTAAGGGTAGGGGTACAGGACATTGTAATAATCATTTATGGTATGGGAATGTATGGGCGCAAGTAACGCGGTGAGGCTCTAATACAAAAAATAAGAGACGAAAGGTAAGACAAAGTGTTTATTGAAAACGTCGTTGACAAGTATAATGCTTACAATAACTGCTCAAAATTGCGTCCACCAGTTGTGATACATTCTTAACAGCGTCGGTAGAGCTATTGGCGTACACGTTCAAAGATGCCAGGTATTTCACGCACTCGTGCAACTGCATTGAATATTCGAGCAACGAGATCCTCATCTGAGTCAAGTGGAGTCGCATAAGCAAGATTCTTCAGATGTCCCAATAAAAAGAAATCGAGGTTTGATGAATCAGGAGATCAGGGTGGCCAAGAGACTGGTCCACCACGCCCAATCCAGTGTGACCCAAACGTAGCACTCAGGTATGATCGGAACATCCTATAGTACTTCTGGTAACACCAGCCAAAATTGTAAATAGCGCTTTCCCCTACTGAGATGCATCATGTTGAACGGCGGTTAGACATCTACTGACCTCTACCGGCAACGCAACCAACTGATAACTCAATTTCTCCTTTCATTTATTTCCCCTGTTTCCGCCTCACCACGTCACTTGCGCCTTTACATTCCTATACAATAAATTATTATTATAATACCCTGTATCTACCCTTAAAGTTTGTAACATGAATTCGGGAACATCCTGTATTCATTATTTTAGAAATAGGGAAAAAAATTATCGGATTTACTTAAAATTTTTTAACACAGATTAGAAAAAATATCGAGCAATGACCATTTTCCTTAAAAGGAAATATCAGTGTAGGAAATACAAGGTCACGGCCTATAAACCTAAAAAAAAATATTATTGTTGTAAATATGGCCCAGGTGCCTAACCTTAAAAAAATAGATATATGAACTCCTCACAAGGAACGAGCTTGAAATTGGAGCTGGTGCTGCACGCTTGTTGTTTAGCAATCTTGTATCTCAGACCTTCATAAATGAGTCCCAAAAGAAAGCTAGCATGAATTTCAAATTGCAAAAATACTTTCAATATGTAGCATTGCGTACCTGGATAGATAAAAAAAACGTTTAACATTCCGAATTGGCTTAACATATTTTTCGCATCTCCACCAGAGAACATTCCTTTCGTCTTGCCTTCATTACAAATGCTACTTATATTCCTCATGTCTTCTTTATTCTCTGTATACTGTCGACTTCCAGGTATTTTCTCTAGTGTTTTCTCAAGTATACTTATCTGAGTTCTGCAAAGAAAAAAAAAGCACCTTTCTTAAGTAATATGCATATAAGGGGATTCAACATCGTCTTTCCAACATTGACACGCATAAAAAAGGAAAGAAAAATAAACTTAAAACAGAAAAAACCCTTTTATTTTTGTTAACCTTAAGTGGTAAACGTGGGGTGCATCACTTTTTGAAAAACTTGTAGGAATTTTCGCCAATGACAGAAATTTAATGAGCAAGATCTCTGCTTAATTATATAATCAAAACATTGTTTAGGAGAGTCTAGAACATATTTTGAAAACTTTTTCAAAGTTTTGTTTGTGGGTAAAAAAAAAAAATTTTTTTTTTAAAAATTTATGAGTCGTTGTAAACAAAAATCATTCACTAATTTTATTTAACATTTTAAAAAATTTCAGTTTCAAGTTTGTGGTTTAGCTGAAAATGTTATACTTTAAAATCAACATTTTTAAATTCTTGTAAAATTTAATTTTTTTCAAAAAATTTAATAGTTTAATTTTATTAAACATAAAATTTCAAATTATACTTTTTTATTACTTTTCTAAAAGAAATTATAAAAATTTCTTAGAGACAAATTAAAATACTACAAATTTCATTAATCTATATATTCTAAATTTATTGAAATTATCTTTTTTTTTTGGAGCATTCGAAAAGAAATAAAAGGGAATAAATTTATTACAGTCAACATTTTTAAATTCTTGTAAAATTTAAATTTTTCAAAAAATTTAATAGTTTAATTTTTTAATTTTATTAAACATAAAATTTTAAATTATACTTTTTTATTACTTTTCTAAAAGGAACTATAAAAATTTCTTAGAGACAAATTGAAATGCAACAAATTTCATTGATCTATATATTCTAAATTTATTAAAATTATCTTTTTTTTTGGAACATTCGAAAAGAAAAAAAATGGAATAAATTTATTACAGAAATGAAGTATATGAAATTCAATCAAGCAATAAATCAATCAAAAATAAAATTCAATCGGTAACACGCAAAAGTTAAATGAAAAGGAAAAAAAGGTCAAACTGAGATGATAAAAAAAGTTTCATGATTTAAAATAGTTCTCATAGAATTATTCTTTTAAATAACCAGGAGGTTACGTTTACCAAAGAGGTTTCTTATTCATCATTTTTTTTCTTTTAAAGAGTCTCTTTTTTCACAAGAGATAAGAACGTGGAAAATATATATTTGTTTTTATTGAAAATTTGTTTATTATGTATAGTAGGGGCGCACAACCTTTTTGAGTGAAGGGCCACATGCGCAGCAGATTGACCAATGAAGGGCCGCATGGCGAAGTATATAGACATGCTTATTGACGGCAATTTTTGGTAGTAATTGTCATATAATAAGCATTATTGTTCTGGGCGCTAAATTCTTTTTGTCAGTTAACCTTGAAATGTCTGCATAAAATTAAATAATTTTAAATGTTTAAAATTAGAAACTGTAAAACTGATTACTTAAAAAAAAAAAAAGAATCGGAATCAATTTATCAGAAAAAAAATTTAGATAATTAAAAATTATGGGAAAATTCATGCTTTTTTAAAAAATCATATTACATAATACAAAAGTCCATTTAAACAAAAATTTTAACATTAAAATATTTGTTCATAGAATTAAATGTAAAAAAATTCTAGTTATTAAAATAAATGCAAGTTACTTTGATTAAAAGAAAGTTTTTTTTATAGGGTTAAAAATGATTAAAATTAAAACAAAACCCCTTCAGCACAAAATAAGATTTATCATTAAGTAGGGAACATACTTTAACTTTAAAACATTTATTTTAAATTAATTATAAGAGGCAGGGTCTGAAAGAGGGTAGAAAAGGAAAGAAAGAAAGACTTAATTTTGAGAGAGCTATTTTCCTTAAAGATAAAAAACTATTAACATGCTTGTTTACAACTTTTTATGACGAATATTTTTAACGTGACGACACTTTTACAATTTATACACATATATATTAATTAATAAAATTTACATTACTTTTCAAAACTTATCTTGATTACAATTTTTTAAGTTGAAATTTCATGATATACAAATCAGTTCCCAGCATATGATCATAAATTATATAAAATGGCCTAAGTAGGTAGAAAATGGTTTAAAAAATTTCTTAATGATTATCCTGCAATTTGCAAAGTTTCTAAATATTTTGATAATTTTATCTACTCGATCATGTGTTAGCTTTTTAGAGCCATTGAATGGAAATTTAATGATTTTGTTTAAAGGCTGCTCTGTAATTTTGAACAGGCTAAATTCATTCTAGAAAACAGCCTTTCGACAGAAGCTGTTGTTGTGAGTAGTATTAAGCTTAATCGGTTTTGGAATTTCAGATGGTGCTCTTCCTTTCCGAAATTTTAAATCGCGTGAATAAAAATAGCAATGTATTATTTTTAAATTGATTGAATACGAATTGCTTTACGTGATTTTTAAATTGCGTAAATAAGAAACGCGATGAGTGGTTATTAAATCGCATCAATACTAATCGAGATGTGTTAAATTGCGAAAAGACGACTCACAACGTATGATTTTTGAAATACGTGAATATGAATCACGATACGTGGTTTTAAATAGCGTGAATATGAATCTCGGTGCATGAAACGCCAGAACACGAATCGCTATATGTGGTTTTTAAATTGCGTAAATAAGAAGCGCGATGAGTGGTTCTCAAATCGCATCAATACTAATCGAGATGTGTTAAATTGCGAAAAGACGACTCACAACGTATGATTTTTAAAATACGCGAATATGAATCACGATACGTGGTTTTAAATAGCGTGAATATGAGTCTCGGTGCATGAAACGCCAGAACACGAATCGCTATATGTGATTTCAAATCTCGTGAATATGAATCGCGATGGAGGATTTTTTAAATCTCGCTAATGTTAATACGAAATACGATGTGCAATTTTAAGATTGCGTAAATACGAATTGCGATGCGTAACTTTTAAATTACCGAGAGGAATCAAAACGTACGATTTTTAAAATGAGTAAATACGATTTGCCAAAAGTGATTTTTGAATCATGTGACAACAAAAACAATAGGTTGGGTGCATGTTNGGTGGCTGCACCAAATACTGATTTCGGACGCTTAATTTGTTTCTTTTGTTTTGAAAATTTCATCATTTATTTGTATCAGTACAAGTCGTTTCTGCATTAAATTTCATTTGATTCTGATGATTCTTTCATGGTGTTGCATTTTCTACAAACAGCAGTTTAATATTCAAATACCAAAAAAGGTACTTATGTAGCAGGAAAGTATCTTTTGTGATGTAACTCTTTCAAAGCTACATAAAAATGGTTGCCAGCAGGGTTGTACATGCAGATTTATTAAATACACCTTGTGTACCACCTAGGAACCAAATCTAGAACCCGACACTCGAAATTTTTGCTCTGTTACAATTGATCCCACTCTCCCCTACACATCTCGTTTTTTTATTTATTATTTTTTTTTTTAAATTCTTTTCGGGAAGGTGTCTATTTTGCCAAGATACGTAATTATTTTTTAAGTTACATAAAAAATTTAAAACAGAATTGAATTTTATGAGTTGTAATATTGTGAAAAATATCAGGATATTCCAAATCACAAGTAAAAATGTTGCAATAACGGGAAAAAGAAAAAAAAACAAGTTCGAAAAACCTTTTATATTTATGTTAAAATCGGTACAAATAAAGGACATGAAAAGCATTATTTTAATGCACGATTCAAAACTCGTGAAGAATATCAGAATTTTTTCTTTTAATCACGGAGGAAAAAGCGTAGTTATAACTAACAAAAAATTTATCAAAATCCCTTTATATTTACAATGAAATTGGCGTAAATAATGAGCGTCAAAAATTTATGTATTTGAATACGGGATTTGAAATTAAAGTCGCAATAGCGTATAAAAAATATCGGAACTTTCGAAGTCTTGTAGAATTGTGTAACAATAATTGCCAAAAATAACGATTGAAAAATAGTGTGATTTGCGATAAAATCAGTACAAATAAACTACGTCAAAAAATGGTTATCTAAACGAGCGATTCTTCACTCGTGATTTGTAATAAAATCGCGCTAAAATACCGAAATTTTAAAAACTACACGGAAATGCGTAGCAAAAACTGCCGAAAAAAAGGATCAATTCAAAAGGATCAAAGTCATTTAGATTTTCCATGAAGTTTGCACAAATAAAAAGTTTCATAACTTTTAAAAATTGTGATTTCTGAAACTACATGAAAATTGGTAGCAGTAATTACCGAAAAGTCATTGGATTTACGATAAAATCGGCATACACGAAGAGCGTCAAAAGTTAAAACTAAAATTCGTATATCGTAATAATGACGTATTAAAAATATTGGGATTTTTAAAACTATGCGCAAATCCGTAGCGTTAACCATAGAAAAAATACATTGATTGTGATTGGGTGCATCAAAAACTTAAATGCGTAAATTTCAACTTTCCGATTTTTTTCAATTTTTCGAAGAAAAAATTTTTTTTTCTTCATTTTGTTCATATTGCGGCCGCGGGCCGCACATCGAGGGTTGGCGGGTCGCAGGTTGTGCACCCCTAATGTATAGTAAAATATATAATTAAGTCACTATTTTTCACAAAAGCAAAGAACACGGAAAATACGTTGAGAATATATATTTGCTTATTATTAAGAACTTCTTTATTATGCGTAGCAAAATGTATAATTATCATAACTTTCTGTTTCAACATTTTGTTGATATGATAATCTTAATAAAATTAACGATTTTCTGGATATGAAACATGATTAACCATACTTGGAAAAAAAATGATACAAATTGTACAACTCAATAGAAAATGTGATGTTTTTTTTTACTGCTCTTTATGCAGAATAAGCACAATTTTAAATTACATAAAGTTAATGGGTTTTGTGAAATACAAGACCCACATAACCTTTCAAAAAACATACAAATAATACCTACTTATCTCCTGAAATGTAACAATCTACGATCTCATCTCCTTTTACTTGAAATGCAACCAACCTCTCGTGGCTTTCATCAACATAGTATGCCCAAAACAAATTACTACTATCTGCGATACTTTCCAAATTGCTTAAGCCGAATATCGCCCTAAGGAGCAAAAACGCTGCGAATAAACGAATCATATCAAGTGTGTTGAAAATACCTATAAAAAAGAAAATCAAAAATGTGAGAAACTTATTTATACAAGATATGTCACGTTTCAAAGAACATTCATATATAAGGGTTTTAAATCAAGGGATCGAATTTCTATGCTCTGATCAATGACTCTACATTTTTGCTTATTTTTGCAATAAGTTCTGTGTAAAAGACGTAAGATCTTCGTATACAATCGCAGTACATAAAAAATTATTCCCATCTTTTGGTTCGACTTCCCTCAAGGAATGTTGAATGCGTAAAAAAAGGTGCATGTTATTTACAATTACTGCTTACAAATCTGTTCATTTCTGTGCGGATGTGATTTCGCATGAATTTACGATCGGCTCGTGAAATGATGGCCTTTTTTTCCCAATACCACAAAAGAAAAAGCGAGTTTTCATACGAAGGAGAGAAAAAAGAATTACCTGTAAACGAGGCATAAATGTTAATTAAAAATTTTTCCCTTTTTTTTTTTAACAGAATGAGTTTTTTCGAAAAGCTTACCCAGAAAGCATGTAACTTTACGACAACCATGTGTCTAAATTTTATATACATTGTTCGAAAAGATTTGCAATAAAAACCTTTTTTCAGCAACTAAACTAAAGGATGAAAGCCATATATGGCAGTACTTTTACTTGTACTTCGTTACTTTTTAAATTTAGTACTTTTACTTGTACTTTCGTTACTTTTTTCTAAAACTCGGTAAACTTTCTAAATATATATATCCGGCAAACGATGTTTTGCCATATGAATTATTTCTAGAGTATGAAAATATATCTTATTTATTGTAAATGTGTGCGTATGTGGTATATGAGTGGAAGAGGCATGGAGCGCTGTGAACGATGACGGAATGTGAAAATAACAACACACCAAATAATATTTTTTTTAATTTATTGCAACTTTTTCTTATAAATTATATATACAACGAATTCTGAAAATATTAGTCAACAATATTAATCTCTTAGTGCAATGGAGTGTACAATATTTTTTGTCATTCCATCTTTAGCTAACACAAATAAACTGGATGGTTTGCCCACTCGAGAGTATGCCACGTATCTGTGCGAAAAACATGGTGTGTTCAAATCTAAGACGCAAACAGACATTGTTTGGCCTTATCATTGCGAATGCCAATCTAATGTGGAACTGAATGCGTTTAAATTGAATTGGCACATCTGTGGGGGCATAATAGGGATTGGCACATAATAGGGATTCGTGGAAGTAATATACTTTCATCCCGGAATTTGTCATTTAAAATAA